ACAAAAGGCTGATCCAAGAAATTATTTCTTCATTTATATTATAGATGAGTGTTTCTGATGCTGGGGACACGGAAGAGTGAGTGACTGAACGTTTCTTTGTATGCCTGTAGATATTTTGCCTGTAGTCTTTCTGTAAATTTTAGGACTTTAAAGAACTGAAAGTCTTAAATACCATAAGTTATCCATGTCTAGCCACGACTTACACACTGCACGTTGAGTCTTTTAAATGTGGTTCCAGAGAAAAATGTTACGGATACCACCATAGGAGTCTGTAAGTGTCTGTGATGCACATTTTAGAGAGCAAGCACTGAAAAGAGGAGGGAAGTACGACAGCAGGGGAGAGAGAGGCAGCTCCGGCATGTGAGGGGACGATAAAGGACCCATCATAGAAACCCGGCTCTGACTCGATGATTGCATCTTCTTCTTCTGAAAGCTTCCGCTCCTCTTTGAAACGTCCTCTGTCACTGTGCATGTCACTGACAGACCATCGCCTCACACATGATGTCTATCTGACTTTTACTTGTTCCGAGCTTCTATACATGTTATACTGTATATATTCTTAATATGTAGAGTTTGTAGAGTTAATGGCTGACTGAGTTCTCCATTAGCCACTCTCTCCCAGCTGCCAGCCTGCCTTCTCTGAGTGGGTGCAATTAAAGTGCCAAGCTTCATCATTCCATCAAGTGGCAGTGATGGAGGTTATTTTCTGCTTGAAAATTGAATTGAATTAAAATGAAGTTGGAGCTACAATGAGAGCCTGAGGCACAGTTGGACACACAAAAAAAACAGGAAATACATGTGTGTGTGTATAAGCAACCTTAACTTTAAGCCATTTTGCTGGATTGTCAGTAATTGTTTTTGTGAGCTGTTCTGGTTGATATAGAAGCCTCAGCCCTTACTAAAAGTTGTCAAGTATTCAGTTTCCTCCAAGTGAGTGTGAATGTGTGTACATGCACGTGTAAACGTGTGAGTGCGTGTGTATATGCACGTGTAAACGTGTGAGTGCGTGTGTGCCTCGGGAGATGTTTGTAATTAATGAAAAGGAGCTTTGCCACCTGCTGCCCTAATGTCACTGAGACCTATAGAGGCGAGCCCTGAGGAGCACCATGAATATTTAATCATGGCATGAAAGGGGAGGGAAGTGACTTGTTGGAATATGGGAGTGTCGCTGGACGAAGCTGTTGAAAGATAGAAATGGTAAAGTATGTCGATCAGCAGAGATACCTGTACCGAGAAACCGAAGATGAGGCAGAGCAGAGAGAGGACGAGGCTCTACCACTGCTGTGGTATCATAGAAATGAATGAGGAAGCCTGCGTCTTCGGCACAGTGCAGTTGTCATTGTGAAAGGACCCTAAGGCCCTCTGCTCTTATAATAGTCTAGTTTTTTCTTTTCAACTTCACCAGGTCACCCAAGTGAAAAAGTCAATAACAGGAAGGTTCCGGCTATTGCACTTACAGCACAGTCGGAGGTGTTTTGAGGAATCAGTGACCGTACAAACAGATAAAAGTAACAATACAAGTAAAAACATTAAATCAAAAAATGTTGCATGCATTTTCATGAATTTATTTTGATAATTTCCAAACAAATTGAGCGTACAGGCAATGATCACCAGCTGAAACCATTGTTACCACATTCGCGAAAGGTCAGCAAGTAGCCCAGCGCGAATGAATCCCACAGCGTCTATAGATGGTATTATGTCTGGGTCTCGTGTAATGTGATTCATTGTGCTGCCTCTGTCCCCAGGAGAATACCCAGAGCATCTTAATTTGAAGTATTTGTGAAAGAGTGTGTTGTGGTTTAAAAATGCTGGCGATGCTGTGTCCAGGATCGAGAGAGGAGAGGAGGTGAGGGGAGGAGGGGAGGCCATATTTATACAATGATGTATGACAGGAGGTTTAACTACCAATTACTATAGAATGGGAAATGTCTGTAATCAGCCTCCTTTTACATTACAGATGTGGAAGTGTCTGCTTTATTTAACTACTGTCATCACATCAAAAATATTCAAATTCTCACATTGTGTCTGACTGTAATAATAATAACTTTTTATTACAACATAATGATGGCCGTAAGCTTAATGAATGCAGGCTGTGAGCTACTGTTGGTTCAGTAAATACGGTACTTGATAGGATCTTTTGGCCTCATTCAATTTCCTGACATCAAACTATATGTCCACTCGATGTTGAGGCATGAACGTAATGAATCTTAATTTATAGGTTTTTAATTCACTGGATTGGCAAAAAATGAAACATTACCGTTTCGGGAAAATGTACTACTGTATATCATAAAATACATCTATGAAAACCAAACTGTAATGCCCACCTTAGAGATCGACTGATAAAATCAGTGCTCATCTGTAGGCAGAAAGAGGTTGAATGTCACGGGTACAGAAATGTTTGCATACGTCTGTGTCAGCATGACTTAGAAAACTTGACAGCTGGGAGTTGGGTTGACTGCAGAGTAGAGCCCAGCCTCGCTCTCTCTTTGCCCTCAGTCTTTAACTTATTTCCCCCCATTGCTTTGATTTCTGACGTGTGTTGAGGCCAGGCAGCCTTATGCGCCATTGAGCTCTCAGAATGAAAGAAAAGACTTCAAGGTACGGCGCCATGCAGTCTCTCTCTCGCTCTCATTCTTTTATATCAGCACAACAGTGAATTTGTCTCGTACACAACCTTTTTGTGGCCATCACGCTCCTCTCCTTCGCCTCACGCCACTGCCATTAATGTTTTAATGGCTCACTGCTTCACGGATCCTCTGGAAGCTCCTTGTGCATTTGTAATTCATGATCCCTGTGAAGTGCTGTTCGAGTCATTCTGTAGGACTGACTGTACCTTCTCACTCATGTTCCTGTTTAGGGGGAAAGATTAAACAGCTAAAATCCAGTGTTGGACTGGTAAGTGGAGCAGTTTGTGTTTGAAGGGTGTTTGGCGTTTTTGTTCAGGAAATTAAATTGACCTGAACGTGGTGGCTTGTATCTACACAGAGCTGAGCTGTGTCAGCTTGTAAGATGTTGAAGCTTGAAGAAGTTATAAAAGTAAAGGGGAGACGCTGGATGCTGGAAGTGTGATTGACAGTTTGTAATCTACAATACCTTAATTCACCTTCTTTCCACAGTAGACTTAGTCATATAAGCTGCTCAGATACTTTTTTTTTATCCTGCTCAGTCTGCGCTCTCGGTGCTCATCTTATTATGTCCCTGTTCTGGCTGGTTTCAAGTAATTCCTCTTTGCAAATTCAACATAATTATCAGTGTAATCAAGTCGGACTAACCACCCAAAATCCTCACGGTGCTATCATGAGTCTCTTTTTCTGGGTCACTAAATATTTATGAAGCCTCCGAGCACATTGTGAGTTGTTTTTAGCGACAACAACAACAACAACTGTGAGGAAGTCTTTTGAGACTCTGATTCCTATCAGAGCACACTTACAAACTGCAGCTTGACTTGTTCGTGAATATGTATGAGATTCCTCCTTTGTGACTGCCAGGGAGGTAAATCAACCTAAGACTCCGTATCTTTTCGGAAGTGCTCTGCTGGTAGATTAACAGCATCTTGTCGGGGGTTGAATATCTTTTCTTTCTCCTCGGGGATCGAGGAATGAGAAGGTCATCAGCGTCTCTCGAGAATAACTTGGAGGGGATGAAGGTGGCGGGGACACCAGGTGCTGTTATCCACATCGGTGTACTTTAGAACGATACGCGGGTCACTGAAGATCACTGACCTCTTATTTTCTATGGCAGTCGCCAGCTCATGGAAAATGGGAATGCATTTGGTGAAATAGATGTGATGATTTCCTCTCGAACTCAAACGATTAGTTGATTCGTCCATTGACGGAAATTGAAGTCAACTATTTGATAATCGATTAATCGTTCCAGTCATTTTTCCAATACTTTGGTTTACCGAATGTCTGCAAAGTAAAAGACATTCCCATCAGCCTCAAACTTAGATGGCGAACAAGATGAACATCGTACATGCTAGGCATGTCATTGCGAGCATTATGGCAAGCACAACCTCATAGAACTGCCAGCATGGCTGTAGACCTTTAGTCTTGTTCAAGCAAAAATGCCAATCATTCTCTGATTTGTGCTTCTCAAATGTGAGGAGTTGCTGTTATCCTGTCCTATAAACGATAGTAAACGGAATATCTTTGGGTTTTGGACCGACGTTTGAAGACATCACATTAGGTTTAGGGAAATTGAAATCTCTGACATTCTACAAATAAAATAATTATTAATAAATCAAGGAAATAATCTGCATATTAATTGAGAATCAAAATAATCTTTAGTCGCATCCCTAATGTTCTCCACACACAGGGAAAGCTGTGGAAGTGTTGCAATGGTCTTACAGTGTAGATTAGTCAGACGTAATGGTCCTCGAGTTGCTCAATGAGGTGAAGGGCAGAGGGCACAAGGCAGGTTCATACTTCGGAGCTGATTTATCCGTCTGAGACACTTCTGTTTATAGGCCAGGTGTGTAAATGGGCTACAGGGACTCGTCAGCCCAATTTGTACTGAAATGTTTGGTACAAAGCAATGATTTTACTCCTGCCATCATTCAGACTGAATTTAATTTGATGGCATGTTGTCTAACCTTTTGTGCATCTAGCTCTGTGACCTGGGAAAGTGCACGTCCATTTGGCTGAGCCTCACTCTGCTGTGTGGTAGAGCAGGTTGAAGCCGAGATCAGAGGAATGTCTCCCTGAGACGGCGAGACAGGGGTAGGCGAGGAGAGCAGAGGGCTTAATCCTCTGGAGGAAAGAGGCGAGGCTTCATCAAAAGGGGCCAAAGTGAGGTGGAGACATGCAATATTGATGGAGAGAGGAGAGCGTGTCTAGTAGATGAGAGGAAGAGAGCGTTCATCCAAATGTCTGACCACAAATTGACGCAGAGCCACACCTGTGGTTGTTTTTTTTCTACACACTGAAGAACTTGTTTCTCGTTGGAAAACCGTGTTTTAAATTTAGGCACTGTCACTTATGATTTCTTGCTTTCATTTCCAGAATAAAGTCCTGAACATTGATGGAGTCAAGGTGAAGCTCCAGGTAAGAACTTAAATTTATCCTGGCAATCATCAACAACTGCTCCTACACTGTTTCTATAAGAGTTGTCGTCAAGGGAAAGGTGTCTGTCAAATAAGAATCGGGCAACACCCTGTGGCATTGTAGCCACCTGTCAGATCCTGTTTCCAACACGACCACCTGTCTCTGAGATAAAACCCATGTTAGCTTTAGCATTGCCTGCTTTTTACGTGATGCATGCGGCTAATCGCACAAGATGAAGAAAAGATCCGTTTGTGGCCAATGATCTTGATGCAAAAAGCCTCTAAAAGAGAATTTGGGTTTCTTCATCTCCATGAAGTTTTCTTCCCTATTCCACACTTCATTCACTATTTTAACTGGTGCTCACAACAACTCAGCATTGTTGTTTGTTTGATATTGTCTCACAGAGCTAGTAATTATGTGAATCATCCCTAATGATCTGAATTATGGGTTAATGGAGGCTGGTGGATCGGGCCTTCGCTCTGTAATGTATTCGTTTGGGTTTAATTGGCTCAAAGTCGGTGTGCAGAACACCATGCAGCCTGCAAATAGAGAGAGGGAGAGATATTTTTCTTCCAGTAATTGGCGTCCTTCATTGCTGCAACTTGGATCTGGGGGAGGGGGGGGGGGGGGTTGGTTGCCCTGTGGGGGTAATCTGGAGACAGAACCAGCAAGAAAGCTGACACGAGAGAAAGACGAAGAGAAGGTCCAGTGCTGGAAAAATCTACAAAAACAAGTAATATCTGCAGTCAACCTGCACAGGTCTGCTAGGGAGGAAAGAAGATGTAATTGCTTTAGACTGCTATAGACTGTGCTGCCTGATGAAGAAGAAGGACTTAATATAATGACCGAGACAGAGCTAAAGTAGAGATTAGAAATGTTAAATAATAATAAATGTCCTAACCTTAAATCTGAACTAATTAATGTGTTATACTGTATTACTAATTAATCAAATGACTGTGTGTTATGTAAAAGGAGTTGTTTGTAGAGATAAATCACCTGATCTTGTAAAGTATTTTAGCATCTCTTAGCTGATTGTTTTGAGTTTACAGCCTTCAACTTTAGTGCTTTTGTTCACTCTCATCACTCTAATCGACTTTGCTTTCAGTTAAAAAAAAAAACGTTGATAAACCTCATGTATCCTACCTTTACTGCACCAAGTGGAAGAAACATATTAGACTTGCATTAACCAGGTGGAAGTAAACATGACTCCTAATTACTGCTAATGTTGCGCATTGGTAACTTTGCTAAGACGTTACCTTCATGCTTACCCTTTATTAAGGTTGATGTCAATGTTGTGTTTACAGCTGGCCTGAAGTGGCCAGAAAAAAAAAAAATCAATGAATGCGGCTTCACGTGCAGATCTTTTTAGATGCTGAATTCATAATACTATGAATGGACTATTCAATAGTCCTGCGTATCTCATTTCCATATTCCAGACTTTAATGGAATGGAGGGTTTCACAATGAGCTCCAGCGAGATGGCTGAGCAAACAGAGAGCTTATTAAAAAGATAGTAACTTCTTCCTCTATTCAGAGATTACCTTTCTCTGTTGTTCTCTGCAGATCTGGGACACAGCTGGACAGGAGCGCTTCCGCAGTGTCACTCATGCCTACTACCGTGACGCCCATGGTGAGACTCTCACACACATTTACACACACACATTTACACACACACAGATAATTCTTTTTTAAAGCAGAGGATTAACTTTTGAGTTAAACAATCTAATGGATTGTGGAAGGACAACACATTCCGGATGCATGGGACTCTTTGATGATCCGTAATCAGTAATCACAGATGAGTGTGTGTCTTCATGTGTGATTTATTAGCCATGCAAGTTCATTTAGAAAGCTCTTTGTGGCAACACTCCATTGGTTTCTCACAAAGCTGGAAATCAAGGCAGAGCTGCTTTTAGTACATTGGGCATAAACCGTAAGTGTTTCATTGAATAACAGCTTGGAATGAGATGAAATGTTCATGGAAGAACTGAAGGATTTTACATTTACACGCAGAGAATAGCTTTTTGTGCAGGACTGGCTTTTCTCTTTGGGTGGCTCTGCTCTTTTTTTTGGTACTTGACATTCACACAATTTAGTTTGTGTTTGTCATATTATATATGGAGAATGCATCACCAGGTTTGGTCTTTTAATCTCTGGGCAGTTGGATCCCTGTGTGAAGTTTTACCGTCTGGATCTGTGTGTCCGTATAATCTATTTAGGTTTACGTGTGCACATGATTTATAAATCAAGACACAGCCCTTCGCAGGAGTTCTAGTGCGGCACATTTCTAATAACGTGGATGCGGTGTGAGTGGAGAAAATGTAGAACTTTGAGGAGCTTTGAGAAAGTCGGTTTGCTGCGGAGAAAAACCTGCACCGAGTATAGTAGATCCTCATCACGATTTCGCATCAGCTCATGTCCGTGCAACCATCCTTGCGGGAAGTAAAACCGAGGTTTAAATGAATTCTGTGTGTGTATTATCCTCATTATGCATGTCATGCGTTGGCGGTGAGCCTGCATAAATATAGCAGGATTTGTTTGTCTCTGTCTCCTGGAAGAAGGAGACCCTGGAGGACTTTTAGCAAGTACCATATACTACCTGTAAGATTAATGGGAGCTGAAGAGTCATTATTTGAACACATGGAGATACTGAGCCCATTGATGTGCTGACTGTGATACACTGCAACTTTGTCAAACTTGAACAAACTCCTGTTTCAGCACCAGACAGTCAGTGACGTTTTGAAGTCTGTGAAGTGGTTTTCAAAAGGCTATGCTGCTTTGGTTTCCGCAGCTTTCAAACCTTTGTTCAAACAAAAGCAGTGCATTGTGATCTGCCTGCTTACCTTTACAATGTGTGTAGACTTAACTGTTATTCTCTCTGTGCTTCCCGTGAACTCTGAAAACAAACTCAAGTTTATTTTCGGCAAAGTCTACTTTTGTCCTTCATTCTATCCGCACCGTGAACTAATCATGTAACAAAAGCAGTTGTTACAGGTTTAGGGTAAGCCACAGTGACTTTTGACTATTTATGAACCATTATGACACACTGAAGGATTTTCAGATTGCAAGTTTATTTTTGCACAAAGTATACAGAAAGGAAAGGATTTTTATTTTTACAAATAACATTTGAGGCTGACCTTTACAGATAAAAGAGCGTTGATAATAGAAAACACCTTTATGGAAATCATGTTTATTAGCAGAAAGGCATGCATGAATAAAAACACACACACTTAAAAAAAGCACTTTATGATTTCCGGTGTGCTGACTTCAACTATAGCTGATAGCAAAACAGTGAGAAACACCTCCAGGACAAGTCTCGCAGAGCTCTGCTTTATTACTCAGCTGTTAGTCTTCATCATGTTCATTTCTCCTGGATTGCCTCCTTTCCAAGCTGCACAGTCCCTCGCTGCCTCCCAAATACCTGCACTCCCTGAGCGAACTAAGGGAGATAAGCACTGAGGCATCTTTGCAGTATAAAAGGGCTCGTTCACTCATATTTTCTCATGTTTGTGTCATTCATGTTAAACTGAATACTTACAAAAGTTACATATATACTATTAGATATATGTATGTGTTGGCCAGATTAAGGCAGTCTCATATCTGTTACGCTGCGTTGTAAAAAAAAAAAAAAGCCACTGGCACAGCGATACCTAAAGAATGTCTGATGATGGGGAAAATTCAAAAAATAATAGCATGGCCTTGGTGACCACTAAAGATCTTTCCATCGAGACTGTGACGAATAAATGTCACGGAAATGCTAAATACTCACCTGTGAATATTTTGCATGAAAACTATCTGTGAGCAGACGAGTCCTTTACATGGTATTGAATTAAATGCAGATGGAATCGGTTCTTTAAGTAAATTTAGCTACAACACTATCAGATAGACATCTAGTGTAGAAACTTTTCCCTGATGGTGTGTACTCTGTTTAGCAGCGACTTGTCTTTAATCTGTCATATATTCTTCACCACCTGAAGTCTGAAGTCTGGTTTGTCTGGTCTGGCTGATTGAGATGCAGGACTTGGTCAGGTCCGAGAGAAAGAACTCTAATTAATCAGCCTCGGGCACAAAGTAAAAATGAACTTTTACATTTTCATTTAATTTGAAAGGAAGTTCAGACATCAAGGTGAGAGATTGAATTAAACACTTTATTTCTCCAAACCTCTGAACAATACAAAATGATTTGCAGTCAATGAATTTTGAAACGATACACTTAAACTTCTCTGTTTTTTGTCTTTAGCTTTGCTTCTGTTGTATGACGTCACGAACAAAACATCCTTTGATAACATACAGGTAAGTAACATTTTGTTGATCTTAGTTTGTTCTATTAAATAATTGTAAAGTCGTTATAACTACTTTGCAACATCCTAAATGTTTTGTGTCAGATCCAGAAATCTCTGTCAATGTTATTCTTACCTACAAGAACAGATGTTGATATTATTTCATACACATGTGCAAATGTAACGCCTGACATGGCAATAACTGAATAAGCATTCCTTTTAGATTATATTCATTGATTTAAAAACTGAGGTTAGATCACGACCTCAGCTATTGTCACATATCGCATCTGATAAATCAATGAATGAATGAATGGTACGGCTTTGTAATGCCAAAATGCTGAGCTTCATGGTCAGTGTCATTTTTGGCAACATCATTATCCCACATTTTTATCCAAGTCAGTCTGTATGACTGGTTGAACAAGCAGTGATCTGAAGGAAAAGGGGGAGAAATATCAGAACAAATGGGAACAAGAGGAATGGGGCGGCGGTAGAGTGCGTCCTTCATCCTTTCTGTGGACCACAGGGACTAATCAATGGTCCTCCAGCATCTCCATCCCTCTGTTTCTCTCCATCTCTACCATACTCTTTAGCCTGCCAGAAAAAAAGATTGTTTGTCCCAATACATAGTATGTCAAATGCAATATGCCAAAAATACCCGGTTTGTCCTACTGCATCTGGACACATTTCTGGCTATTCTGACGCACAATCCTCTGTGCAGCTGATATATGAGCAAGAGATTTAAAGATTCAATTCTATGTCCCAATTGAATGCATACTGCATGTGAGAGTCCGTACTTTGTAAGCGCAGCTGCAGTATGTACTAAAAGGAAATGTATGAATGGTGAAAATGAATTGACATGGCTGCTCTCCCTCTTAGAATCAAATATTGGAAGTCAGAGCCAGCAACATGTATGAATGTTTCAGTTTTAGCATGAATTTTGAAATCCTACCTAGACGGTAACCAAAGAGAAGCAATGCCTTATGTCTGCCCTCTCTGCTGTACCTCCTCTGCTCTTGTTTTTCCTAGTGCACCGAACCTCCAAGTTTATTAGAGAGGAATGGCTTTTATTAAGCACTTGATTTGAGTTTAGTTGTATTTTTTTTTTTTAGTCACTGCTGGGTCATTTGTTGTCCGCATTTTGAAGCATCCAACTGTTTTGGAGCAGTGTGCAGCCACACTTCAGCTAACAGAGACCAGCTCCAGTCCTGAGGAGGGGTGTCCCGGTCAATAGCAGTAAGATGAGTGAGGGAGGAAACCATCATGGATAGAACATGCATACTAGACACAGAAAGGTCCCAGTCAGCCCAGCGGGGTCCACCGAGTACCACCGCCTGTCCTGCTGGTTGGCACAGACTGTTACATGTTGTGGCTGCATTCACTCTGACAACAGGAGCACTGACAACAGAATATATGACGAAGGATGAAACTGATTAGAATCACCTGAGCACTCGTGCAAAGGAAGCCATTCATTAGCACACAGGAGAGGATTGTATTTCCTACACGAGCAGATGGATACACAGCTTCATCGACTAAAGGTCAACATGCTTATATAAAAACTCTTGTTTGATGCAGTGTGTCCTGCAGAACACAGCAGCTTACAAATCAAATCGCGACCTCGTCGTGCGCCACCCAAACATATTCAATTTATTGATTCAGCTAATTAAAAGAAAATGAAAATTCAATGCAAGAGGGCAGATGGCAAAACTTACACAAGAACTTTCATATATTTTATTTTGTGTTATATATTACCGTGATTATGTGCATATAGAGAGCAAAAGAGCATTACCGTATGCATTTCCTGCTAAAATTGCCTTTTATTGTACGTAAGTTTCTTCTTCCAAGATTGCTCCCTTGAGTACCTTTTTTTGTTTTGTTCGTCCACCTCGATTCTTATTAAGTAAACTGTGACAACAAACACACTGATAATACCTTGAAGCAAGAGATTAAATAAAAAGAAATGCAGCAACACAGGGAGGCATGATTTGAAAGGATACAGAGGAGAAGTCGTACTGTGAGTCTAGCCTTCCCGTCAATAGAACACATAATATCTTGGATCAATAATCAATAACAATAAAGTGTTTTTACAATCCTGTTGTATTGAAAGGAAAACGAAAACTGGGCAAAACTAAACAGCACCACTTGTCCCATTTCATGAGTACACTGTAAAACATCACCAATCTGCCACGTCGAAGTCGATAGCAGTCAGCACACAAAATGCCAGCTTCTCAGAAACATCGCCTCAATCGCTTCAATCTACTGATCGATTAGTTCACTAAATCAACGAAAGAGTGTTAGTTGACTAAGAATTGCTTTGGTCGAGGTCAGCCCTAGTTTTTAGTCTTCCAGAGATATCTTTCTTCAGACACACAGTTCGACGAACCCTCCCCTCCCCTCCCCTGCTTAGCTTTCCCTGCTCTCTTTTTCAACTCCACATCCACATTCAGTCAACGTCTATTACAGCGGGGACATATGCTGGCGGTGAGCTACAGATGCCTGCTGGCACACCGCTGCCTAACGAGCACTAACTCATGTTAATGAACGCTAATGGTGATGAATGCCACTCATGAAGGAGAGAGGGAGAAGCAAGAGGGGCAAATCATTCTCTACTCCTCCGCCTCAGACCTGCTTCCCTCTGCAGTGTATTATTGTCTCCCTAGCTAGGAGACATTTAGGCAAGCAAAGCATTAATGTCAAAGGAGCTGTCCATCATCTCAGTGAGAAAAACCGAACACTTACAGAGACAAAACAATGCATCTTATGCTCTGACTTGCTACATCTGGAACATAAACTAGTCATTTGGAGAGTATAATTGGTTGGTTTAAAGATTCAAGTTTGTGAGCATGCATTTCAAGCTTCAGCTTACATCAGAGGCTGTTTGTAACAGTCATATGAATCATTTTGTAATGTTTTTTTAAAGGCAATGACAAACAACATATTTTGCTGCTTAGTTTTATAAGCATATAAGATTTATAATCATCTGAGACTCTGTCGTTTAAGAAGTGAACCGCGTTGTACAAGTGTTGCGTGAAGAAGCATATCGTGGGTTATTTTGCAGCATCGGGTTCTATGAAAGTTAGTGAGGGCGCAACCGAGGTAATCCTCATTCATCCCCTTCTTCCTCACCTGTAATTCTGTCTTCTGTGTGGAACATTATTAGTCTGTGAGGTCCACTGCTTCAGTAGATGACTGCCTGTCCTTGACTGGAGGCATATATGATGCAGCCGGCGGAGCGTAGTCCCGCAGAGGCAAACTGTCGGTGTTCAGCTGCTTTTTGTGGATATTTCCATTTATTTCGATGTCAAAAACAGATGGGACGCTGCGAACACACACTCCAACACAGCGAGATGAATGAAGATGTCCTATAAGCTGCCTGCTTTCTGTTGTTGTTGTTGTTGGAGCAATTCAATTTCCCAGAAGGAATAAAATAAGTGAAATACCTTAGTGGATGTAGTTATGTTGGAGGTGTATGACTATGTGTATGGAAATAACTTCAGTATAGAATCTAATCTTTTTTTTTGTTTGTTTTTCATCCTTGTTGCACATTTTTATGACCTCTTTGTTGTAGGGGGTGTGGGAAAAGGAAGGCCATCATCTTGCTGCTCTTTGTTACACAACACATCATTTCTGCCGGCTCACCAAAAAAAAGTGGCTTTTATGTTTATTGCAACTCTGCAGAAGGAAGCTCTTTACCTGGGAAGGGGCTGACAAAGGTCAAAGCCTTTCAAACTCTCTCAGAAAGACACAGTCGGCAAATCATATTTCCATTCTATCTCTCCCGTCGGCATCAAAAAGCACCTTGAACTATTGAGAGAAGAAACAGACCGCTTTTCAGAAATGAAAGTGCCCGACCGCCCCTTCAGCCTTCTGAACTGTCTGCGACTTTAATACAGTGCCATGGAAAAGTATTTGCCCCCCTTTTTTTCTAGATATTCTACATTTGTCAGACCCTCAAAAAATGAATATAAGACAAAGACAACCTGATTTAACATAAAATACAGTAATACAAAATTAAGATTTTGGAGTGGCATAGTCAACGTCCTGACTTCAATCCAGTTGAGATGCTGTGAGAGGACCTTAAACCTGTAGTTAATGCAATCTATTGCTGAATTAAAGCAATTCTGCAAAGAAGAGCGCCACAAAAGTCCTTCACAGCAAAATGAATGACAGTTATCAGAAGGGTTTGGTGTCAGTTGTTGCAGCCAAAGGTGGCACAACTATAGTTATTAAGTTCAGGGGGGCAATTACTTTTTCACATGGGTGAAATATGTGTATAAATGAAATACTCAGGTTGTCTTTGTCTTATATTTAATTTAATTTGAAGATCTGGAAGAATTAACTGCAAAAAATAGAATAAATCACAAAAGTGGCAAATATTCTTTCACAGCACTTTATTTTAAAGATTGTCCAAGATGGACAGGCATCTATTAGTTCTATTGTTTGCACTCTTATTAACCTAAAATATATATTACTGTACTGATGGTGTTTGTTGTGTCTGAAAAGAAGAAATATTCAGCGCTAGACAGTTTGGAAAAATGTATTTTGGGGATTGCCTTGGGGACAGAGTTTTGGATCTATAAAGAAATATTCTGCTTAAAGAGTATTTTCTGCCTCAGGAAAAAAAGAAATTGCAATGCAGGTTTAAACTTTTTCCCCCCATAAGTTTATATACAAAGTTACTTTTACTTTGTCATTTTCCCCAAAAACCTTTCTAATGTGAACCAGATGTGTCACATTATCTGGGAGCCAGAGGTCGTGCACTGTCTTCATCCAATCATCGTGTTGTTTTTGTTTTTCTACCATCTTTACAGTTTGTCACAGCAACTAATAAAACTGCAGTTTCCGGAAAAATATGTGACTCCTTTTGAAGCCAAGTTCTGTAAACCTCCTTTTTTCCTTCTGTGGGTACATTGCTGCTCCCTTTTTTTTCTCTGTACTTTTGTACTTTTTGTTAACTGTGATATGTTTTTTGTCTCTGTGGCAAAAGTTAACCATTTTTTCAAAGACAATTATTGT